CCAGCCTGGGACACATGTGATAATAATAAAGCAATTATCAGTCTTCACCAGCAAGTCCAAGCTGTGATGCCAGAACAAGACACATAAGACAGACCTGAGAGACGCCAGGGCAGCAAGGACAGGATACATGGAGGGCATGGGTTCTGCCCAAAGCACAGTGAGACCCCACTGCCCAGACTTCTGATTTGTCTAGAAGTGCGGGAAGTCCGGTCCTCATGTGCAGTTCTGCCTTCTTTCTTTATAATGAAGCAACCCATTCAATCTTCTAAAACTGTGTGTGTGACGCGTGTGTGTGCGCACTGTGTGTGTGATGTGTGTGTGATATGCGTATGATGCCTGTGTGCTGTGTGTGTGATGTGAATGTGCAATGTGTGTGATGCATAAGTGTGCTGTGTGTGTGGTGTATTGATGTGAGGGATGTGTGCGAGTGGTGTGTGTGATGTGTGTGATGTCTGTGTGATGTGTGTGGTGTGTGTGATATGCGTGATGTGAGTGTGCAATGTGTGTGTGAGATGTACCAGTGTGCTGTGCATGCTGTGTGTGTGATGTGTGTGGTGTGTGTGATGTGTGTGTATGGTGTGTGTGATGTGTATATGATGTCTGTGTGCTGTGTGTGATGTGAGTGTGCGATGTGTGTGATGTGAGTGTGCAATTTGTGTGTGAGATGTATGAGTGTGCTGTGCATGCTGTGTGTGTGATGTGTGTAATGTATGTGTGATGTGTGTATGATGTCTGTGTGCTGTGTGTATGTGTGTGCTGTGTGTGATGTGAGTGTACAATGTGTGTTGTATGTATGTGTGTGCTGCGCGTGCTGTGCATGTGATATGTGTGCTGTGTGTGCACACTGAAATGCCATGGACGAATGTGGCGTTCAGGAGACACCCTGAGGTGTTGGTCGTTGCCTTCCACCTTGTTTGAGATGGATTCTCTCGTTTGTCACAACTTACACGGGGCTAGCACGCCTTGGAGCGTGTCAGTATCCGCCCATCTGTGTGGGAGTGCCGCAGGTATAATGCTTGTCCGTCTTACATGGTTCTAGGTCCAAATCCAGCTCTTCACTCTTGCCTGGCAATTCCTGCGCCATCTCTTCAGCCCTCTCTCCTTATTACATGAGATAAGGGAACCCCTCTGCCCCGTCCAGGGGTCATAAGGCCCTGGCTTCCAGATGCCTGCTCAGAACTCTGCTTTGGGGAGCGGGGACTCCAAAACTGGTAATTGCAAGGCACTTCTGCCTACTTAGGAATAGGAGTCTCACCGCCAAGAAAGAAACTGAGGGGTGTCTGGCAAAGAGGGGTACACCTGTGGGAAACATGAAGGGTGGAGCTGGCATTCAGCCTTTGCACTCTCCAGGATTTCTTGTGGTTGCCAAGGCTTGGCACCCTGTTTCCCGCTTGGCTTGTGTGGATTCGGTCTGTCTGAGACTCCATCTCCACCTCAGAGGAAGGCGGGTGCTGCTCATTTATTCATTATTTATTTATTGGACCAAATCACTCCAGCAATTCTTGCGCCGTCGAGTGTAATCCAATTTGGTTTTCAACATTGCTTTTAAAGTAAAGAAATAAATACAGCAGAGGCTTGTTAAAGGTGATCACCAGGGAGTGGGCCTTGAACCCATAACTTTAAAGTAATAGCCCCATTACGGGGTGGGGCGATGGGTTTTTAACAGTTCCAGGCATTTAAGTCAGAAGGGTGAGGGGCTCAGCACACAGCATACAGGGCTCCAAGCCCTTCCCAAGGCCATTTAACCTCCATTTACAAAGAAATAAAGTGAAATTGATGCTGATCAGGCCGGCTGGGGGATATTTCTGATCCATAAAAGCTCTGTGTCTGCAGTCTGTGGAGTGGCCCTGTCACATGGGAAAGGCCTCCCTGATGAAAATGGAGCTTTATGGCCGGGTGCTCACGGCTAACAGCAACCTAATACCACATTTTCATTTCTCTGCAATTAATGTTAATGTCGACGGCGAAATTGTCATTAAATACCATTTTAAAATCCATTCAATTTGCATATGCAAAGCTCATTTGCCATCGCCGGAGATGCAGCCGGCACTTCATCACGTCCTTGCCCTGGAATTGCGGCCACTCTGTTTTATAGCAATTTAAGACTTTTATATTGGGAGCTGATGATAATGCATGATGTTCTTGAGCCCAGCTGACTTGAAGGATGGAAAGCCGAAGCCCCCGGGGACCAGAGGTTCTGGGTGTCTGTGCCTTATCTACGTTAAAAAGAGAGGGTACCCTAGGGAGGAGCCTCATATAAGGAGCCTGCCACCCGACTATAGGCCTGGCTCCATCAGCAGCAATGCTGTGTGACCTTGGGGTGCTCTCCTCACCTCTCTGAACTCTCTACTTCTTCTGTTTTCAATAAAAGCTCCCAGTCAAATGATTGCTAATGTATGTTCTAATTTTAAATGTTTCAAAATAGACGTCTACTTAAGAATCTGGGTCAAGCTCTTACTTGCATGAATTTGGGGAGGGGTCAGTTAACCCCTCCTGGCCTCATGTGGGTAGATAGGACCCCTAGTAGTCTCCAATGGATGTCTAATGAAGGCTTATAGAAAACTGGGGAGAGAAAATGAGGTTAGTTTATGACTCCCTATTACACGGGAGGAAGAAATAATTCCCAAGTGAAAAAGACTGTCAAAACCCAGGACACAGTCACCACATACTAGAAGCCCATATATAAAACAAGAGAAAGTAGGAAGAAGTTCAGAGAGGTAAAGAGAGCTCCCAGGGTCACAAAGCAGGTGGTTCACTGGGCTGAGCTGAACCACACTGTCAGGCTCCCTGTCCGGTGCTCCCTCCTTTGGGAACAGAGACAGAACTGGTACCCGAGGCTGACTCTAGATTTAAGACTGCTCCCCTGATACCAGATTGTCTTGAGGACTCCAGGATGGGCTAGCGTGCTGACTCTATCGTCCGCAGGGACCAGGTGAGGAGGGCACCTTTGTGAGGCTGGGTTGCTGCGCTCCAGAACCCAGGGGACCAGTCCAGCTTTCCCACGGGTCTCAGCACTACCCCAGCCCAGGTCTTCAGGGCGGTGTGCACAGGAATGCACTTCTAGGGGAAGGCGGGTGCCCCAGTGAAAAGGGGCTACTGGACCGGACTCTGAAGAACGCAAACACTTTTCCTGGCAAGATGGCATGAACTGGAGTTCCCAGAAAAGCTGCACCAGAACTCAACATTCCGTAAGGCTGACTGACTGACCTTAGAGACTGCAGAGCTGCAATGTTGCAGGCCCGGAGCCGGGCTATCTTGGGCCATCTGCAGCCCCTTTTAGCCCTTCATTGCCCACCAGTGTCGGGGCTAACATCCTTTTGTAAGGCACACACAGAACGCCTCTTCCAACAACCCAAAGACTAAGAAAATCATCGGATGGCGTCTGAGGTCTAGCAGAGGAGCTGGTGGGCTTTGGGGGGTGGTTTCAGTTTGGGAAGATGAACAATTGGTGGGGCGGTGGACGACAGGGACAGGAATGTGCCCCTGATAGGTCTGGTATGGCGTGATTTTACCACCATAAACACGTGAGAGAAAAACGGGATTCTTGCCAACCGTCAGCAACTAACAAACACGACAAGACTGGAGTGCATAGTCAGCTGCTGGGGGCAGAGGAATCGGGTTCCCTCCCTGGAGTCAGGGTGAGATGGGCTGACGTAGGAAATAAAATATGGAGACTGATGAAGGCCAACGTGAGCCCATAGAACGAGAGAGGGGCCAGCCCTAGAATCGGTGAGCGGCCAGCAGGGCTGGGGCCATGGGAAATGTGAGTTCTCTTGGTCTCAAGTGAATGACCTTTGCTATAGAGACAAGGGCACAGACAACGGCAGTGACCCACGTAGTCTGTGTGATCACAGGACCGGAGAACTCACTTCTCAGGGTAACCCATGCGTCTGGGTACAGGCTAGATTTTCTACATTGGTTTGATGGTTTGTGACAGGAGATTTTTTTATCTCACAAGCCAAACACTGATAATACAGTTTACCACAGAATAGTCAAACCACAAAGACTTATTTTGATTTTATGTGTGTGTTTGCCTGCATGCATATATGTACACCATGTTTGTGCAGCGCATGTATGTACGCCATGTGTGTGCAGTACATGTATGTATGCCATGTGTGTGCAGTACATGTATGTACACCATGTGTGTGCAGTGCATGTATCTACGCCATGTGTGTGCAGTGCAGGTATGTACGCCATGTGTGTGTGCAGTGCATGTATGTACGCCATGTGTGTACAGTACATGTATGTACACCATGTGTGTGCAGTGCCCACAGAGACCAGAAAGGATGTCCAGTCCCCTGGAACTGGAGTTACATATGGTTGTAAACCCCATGTAGTTACTGGGAACCGAACCCAGGTCTTCTGCAAAAGCAATGAGTGCCCTTAACCACTACTAAGCCATCTTTCCAGCCCCTAATCTCCTTGCTCTTGGGTTACATTTTGAACTGCCACATCTTAACTACCGACACAGCTCACGTGCCCAGAGGACTTGCTGTATCAACTCCTATAATAAAGTCTTCAATGAAGCTAAAGCCTTGAAACCTCTTAGCAAGGATACAGCAGGCCCTACTATGATCCCATTGTATAGGTATGGAAACTGAGGCAAGGTTCCTGGCTGGTTACTGTCCAGACTCAAGTCCACATGCTTCTGTGGCAGGCACTTAACAGTCTGAGCCTTCTTCCCAGACTGTTGGTAGATTTATTTTTAAAGACAGGGTCTTATGTAGCCCAGGCTGGCCTCAAACTTGTTGTCAACATAAACAAAAAAGACTGTGAGTTTCTATCCTGCTGCTACAAAGTACTGTGATTGCAGGCACGTTCTCCCACTTGACCAACAACCTTGAATGAGAAAATCTCCAGCCAGGGTGCGACTGTTCCTGCTTCCCACTACAGCTTGCCTTCTACCACTCCATTGTTCTGCTTCTGGCCCCCAGTCCCCTGGTGGTCTTGTCACCCTCCTAAGCCACAGGGAAGGTTGGAGCTGGGCTCCCTGACCTTACCGTGAACGGATTCCAAAGGTCACGTTGGGAGGGACAGAGGGTGGCTCTTTCTGTCGCCGCTCCTCCTGGTCGCTGATACGGATGTCATTGAGTTCCCGATACAGCATGTTTTCCCGGGCAGTCACCAGGCCAGCTTTGACAGCCCCACGGTTCATGGCAATATAGTTCCGGGTCAGCTCGTGGGGGCAGGTGGGTTGCTGCTTAAACACGTTCCAGTGCCCGATGGCTGCAGGCAAGGAGACAGCAGAAGGGTGGGTGTCAGTAGGAGGAGAGGGTATGGGACTCTCATCGCCTCCATCACCGGGGACAGTGCTGCCTGGTCCTGGCCAGCAAGCCACCTGAAGGGACAGGTCTCCCAGAGATGCCAAAGTGGGCATGTAATGGTTAGCTTTGTCAACTTAGTTTCAAGGAGTGTTTGTCTACATGAGTTGGTTAGCCTGTAGGGGGTTGTCTTATCTAAGCTGACTGGCGTGGGAAGACTCAGTCCACTGTGGGCAGCACCATTCCCTAGACAGAGGGTCCTGGACTATGTAAGGGTGGCGAAGTCAAGTTGAGCACAGGCAAGCCTGTGAGCAGATGTACATTTATTCTCTCTGCTCTTGACTGAGGATGGAAGATGTCCACCTGCTTTATGCTTCTGTCACTGACTCCCCTGCAGTGATAGGATCCCCTGCAGCAACCTGGGACTGTGAGCCAAATAAGCCCCCTCTCCCCTAAACTGTTTGTTGTCGGAATTTGTTTTTTGTTTGTTTTTTTCCCAAGACAGGGTTTCTCTGTGTAGTTTTGACTGTCCTGGAGCTCGCTCTGTAGACCAGGTTGGCCTCGAACTCACAGAGATCTGCCTGCCTCTGCCTCCCAAGTGCTGGGATTAAAGGCGTGCGCCACCACCCAGCTTTGTTGTCAGAGTGTTTGATCCCAGCAAACCCAACCTGCTGGCTCTGACTTCCACTGGGGCCTCTAGGGTTGGCCCTAAGACTGCTCAGTGCTTTCTTCATGGCGAAGAATGAGTACAGTCACTCCGGGGGTTTCTATGATGGTCTCGTACCGCTCACTCCTGGCTCCTCATAACTCTCCTCTTTGGCTGTGATCTTACCACGGGACGGACATCCGCTCTTTCCCTCTGTCCTGGCCAAGTGGCTTTATTTGACTTGGCTTGTGGGAAGGAGGTGTGAGTCCCTCGTCCACCCCTTGAATCCCTGTGTTCCCAAGAACACCCACTCACCTTCAGGGACCCCTCCATCTAGCCCCCGGATGTAGAGTCCGTAATTGAAGTTGATACCAGGCAAGCTGCAGCTTCTCTCCCGGGGCTTGCCAAGCTCTGCCTGTTGGGGGAAGAGGGCTGAGGTAAGGGGCAGAGTCTTAGACTTAGCAGGAGTAAGTACTGTCTCCCCGCCAGCAGCCTCTGAGGGGCAAGCAAGCTGCACGTGAGGTCCTGAAGCACCAACACGCCGTGGACAAGCAGAGCAGCCAGCTGCGGCTGAGAGTCCAGACCCGCTACCCTGGAGCTGGGAAAAGAGTTCAAGAACACTAAAGGAGGTGTCTGGACAGAGGGTCAGTTTCTGTACCTAACACTGCGTACCTGCCGGTGACAGCTCCAGTCATGCGCAGGTGGACAGCCCCAACTGCCTACAGGTGGCTGGAGGGAGCCACCTCCTCTTTGAGTTCTCACCTGGCGGGTGGGGGCCGACTGGTGACATCCCTTCTAATGACATTCCTTCTGGGTCTACACAAAGTTCTTCCTTGACTCCTGGATGTTATCAGCCACAGGGACCCCCCCCACACACACACAGTTTATATACAAATCACCTACAACTCCGAAGGAATGGGGAATCTGCCCAGGACAGGCAGATTTAGTCTTTATGAGGAATGAGACCCTCAGATACAAGTGAGCAATGAACTCACGACAGGGAAAGCTAGACAGTTTCTTCTACGATCTTGCAAGATTTGGAGCCACCCGAGACAGTGGTGAGCATCCCTTGAGCAAAGAGAACAGTCATAGAACCCCAAGGGCTGCTCCTCTTCCTCCTCCTCAATGGCTGAGTTTGGGGTGGGGTGGGGCACTACAGATCTGCTACTTACCTTCCTCTATTTCTTTCTCTCTCTTTTTAAACATTTATTTATGGGAGTGATCATGGCAGACAGAAGTGTCTTAATTAGGGATGCCATTTCTTTTTTTTTATTGATATTTATTGAGCTCTACGTTTTTTTCTGCTCCCCTCCCTGCCTCTCCCCTCCCCTTCAACCCTCTCCCAAAGTCCTCATGCTCCCAATTTACTCAGGAGATCTTGTCTTTTTCTACTTCCCATGTAGATTAGATCTATGTAAGTCTCTGTTAGGGTCCTCATTGTTGTCAAGGTTCTCTGGGATTGTGATTTGTAGGCTGGTTTTCTTTGCTTTATGTTTAAAAACCACACATGAGTGAGTACACGTGATAATTGTCTTTCTGGGTGTGGGTTACCTCACTCAAAATGATGCTTTCTAGCTCCATCCATTTGCCTGCAAAATTCAAGATGTCGTTATTTTTTTCTGCTGTGTAGCACTCCATTGTGTAAATGTACCACATTTTCCTTAAGGGATGCTATTTCTATTATGAAACACTGTGACCAAAAGCGAGTTCACATCATAGGCCACCACTGAAGGAAGTCAGAACACGAACTCAGATAGGGCAGGAACCGGGAAGCAGGAGCTCACGCAGAGGCCCCGTGGATGAGTGTTGCTTACTGGCTTGGTCCCCACAACTTGCTCAGCCTGCTTTCTCACAGAACCAGCAGCCCGGGGGTGACTCCGCCCACAACGAGCTGGGCCTTTCCCCACCAATCACTAATCAAGAAAATACACCTCGGGCTTGTCTACAGCCCAGTCCTACGAAGACAAGGGAGACAAGGCGTTTTCTCAGCTGAGGTTCCCTCCTCTCAGATGTGTCAAGTGACATAAAACTAGGCAGCACAGAAGACAGCCTGTGGGACTCACTTCTCTCCTGTCACATGAGTTCTGAGAATGGAACTCGGATCATCAGGACAGGCAGCAAGCACTTGCATCTGCGGAATGCTCTTGACCCATATTTGCCTTCTCAACCGAGACCGTGCCTGGATTAGCTCAGATTTCAACACCCTGATTATTTTAAAGCTTTTCAGGCATGTGAACTTTGTCACGTCTGTAGATTTTTAAGTAAACTTGGCTGCTAATAATATTTGACTTGCTGGGTGGTGGTGGCGCACACCTTTATTCCTAGCACTCAGGAGGCAGAGGCAGATGGATCTCTGTGAGTTCGGGGCCAGCCTGGCCTACAGAGAAAGTTCCAGGACAGCAAGGACTGTCACACAGAGAAACGCTATCTTGAAATACAATACTAATTTTGACTCTAATCTTCTGATGCGTGGGGATAGATAAACTATGGGCGCCTGCAGGGCCTCAGTGTTTCTGTCTTTCTCTAGGTGAGCAGTCCTGTCTTGACAATGGACCATTCTCTGTTGTTTCCTACACCTAGGACTGTCTTCTTCTTAATCGCCACGCTTGTCTAGAACGGAAGTCCTCTGAGACTGGAGGCCCTGCCCTGCGGGGCACACACAGCATCTCCCATGCCTTCCTCTTCACACATGGACACTGTCCTGCCATTCCTCCCATGCCTGCTCTCATTCATTGCCCACAACCGTCTAGAGCAGTGGTTCTCAACCTGTGGGTCTCTACCCCTTTGGGGAGTCAAACAGCCCTTTCTCAGGGGTTGGCCTCAAGCTCACCAAGCCAAGGACGCTCCTGATTTCTGGTCCTCCTGCCTTTACCTCCCACTCCGCAGCAACACACACTGGGTGGTGTAAATATCATCAGTTCTTTCCAGCCGTCCCGGGGAAGCCCAGATTGAGACAGCAGCCCAGCAGGGCTGGGGAGGGCCTGCCTCCCTGCTTAACACATGGCTGTCCCTCACTTAAAGCCCCATGGGTTGGAGAATACAGACCTGAAACTCTCCTCTGCTCCCTAGAAGGGCACAAATCCCACTGTGAGGGGCCCTGCTCTCAAGACCTCAAGGCTCTGTCTGCCAGCACCCCCCTGGAGGTTAGGATTGTCACAAGTGAGTCTGGGAGGACAAGCAGCCTCCCCGGAGATCTCTGTTCTTCCCCTAAGCCGCTGGCCATTCCTCTCCCTCTTCCTTCACAGGTCAAATCTCAGCCCCCAATCTCCCTCAAGGGCCGGGGGCTCTGGGTTCTAAGCAGGTACTCTGCTGTGTGGTTTGGTTTGAAATTCCATCCACATAGCTCACTCTGGGCTACAGATGAAGCTCTGGGCCCCTTGTTTGTTTATGAAAACTGGTTTCGCCAATGACTGCTGGGAAGTTAATTAAAACATGGCGGCTCAGCAAGGCCCTGCCTCCCTCAGGGCAGGTGCAAGTGGGCCAGCTTCCAGCTGGAAGAGGAACGAAGGACAGACTCAGGAGCTGAGTGCCATCTTCAGCAAAGGGCAGGTGCCTCAGTCTCCGTGCGCTGCAGACCTGTTGCCTAGGGTTCAGGAAAGAGAGGGGAGACACCGGCCACCAGAAATCACCTTTGGGGTCGAGCTTGCTAATATTTATTCCACAGATCTTTAGCTTGTTCCTTTTTGGCACCAAACCCTGTGCTGTGAGTTCTCAGGTGAAAGCAGTCACACAGCCTTGCTCTTAAGAAGCGAACTGACATAGAGAAAGGACAAATCCAATGACAGACAAAAACATCAGCTGTGCGACGAGGAAAGCTCAGACACGTCACCTCAAAACCTCCAAGGCTACAAAATGAGACAAGTCATTTGTGACGCATGGTCTGACAAAACTTGTATCCGTCATATATAAAGAGCAGCCACAAATCAATACAAAGGAAAACATGTCTATAGAAAAATGAACAAAAGACTTGAATAGACACTTCATTAAGAAGATGTCTGAGTAGCCAAAGCTACTCAGGTATTCAACCTCAGCAATGCACAAAATACAAGTTCAATGGCACTGTCAAGGTCTGAAGCAATCAGAACACTCCTGATCTGAGGGATGGTGAACTGACTGGCACAGCCACGGGAAAGGTGGTATTAGCTATTAGAGCCAAGCATCTGTCTAGCCTATAATCCCACCGTTATGTCGTGGATGCCCACAGTGGCTCATCCTCACTGTCAACCTGACTGGATTTATGGTTCCCTAGGAAGCATGCTTCTAGCCATGAGTGGCACCATCCTCCAGGCTGCAGTCCCAAACTGAATGAAAAGGAGGAAGCTGGTTGGACTTCTGACTACAGACGCCAAGTGACCAGTCACCTCACGCGCCGGTCACCATGCCTTCCCTCAAGCCAGGAGCCAGGATAAACCTTCCTCTTCTAAGTTGTTTTTTGCTTTTATTTTCTAGAGCATTTGATTACAGCAACAGGAAAAACAGCAAATAACACTGGGAAAGTGTGTGAGAGTCCACACCTTGAAACATCTGTAAATGATGCTAATAGTTCCCCTCAGGACAGCACCAGAAACCCCTCCCCCACCCAGGGCGGCTATCACAGGAAGGCAGTAAGTTCATTCTTTCTTTCTTTCTTTCTTTCTTCCTTCCTTCCTTCCTTTTCCTTCCTTCTTTCCTTTCTTTCTCTTCCTTCTTCCTTCCTTCCTTCCTTCCTTTCTTTTCCTTCCTTCTTTCCTTTCTTTCTCTTCCTTCTTCCTTCCTTCCTTTCTTCCTTTCTCTTCCTTCCTTCCTTTCTTTTCCTTCCTTCTTTCCTTTCTTTCTCTTCCTTCTTCCTTCCTTCCTTTCTTCCTTTCTCTTCCTTCCTTTCTTCCTTTCTTTTCCTTCCTTCTTTCCTTTCTTTCTCTTCCTTCTTCCTTCCTTCCTTTCCCTTCCTTCCTTCCTTTCCCTTCCTTCCTTCCTTCCTTCCTTCCTTCCTTCCTTCCTTTCATAACCTGTGTCAGTGTGTATCTCTGTGTGTGTTGTGTATGTGGATTTTCTTTTCTTTTTTTGTTTTTTTTTTGTTTTGTTTTGTTTTGTTTTTTGAGACAGGGTTTCTCTGTGTAACAGTCCTAGCTGTCCTGGAACTAGCTCTTGTAGACCAGGACTGGCCTCGAACTCACAGGGATCCACCTGTCTCTGCCTCCCAAGTGCTGGAATTAAAGGCATGTGCTACTACTGCCCAGTGTGTTTGTTTGTTTGTTTGTTTTGAGACAGAGTTTCTCTGTGTAGCCCTGGCTGTCCTGGAACTCACTCTGTAGACCAGGCTGGTCTCCAGCTCACAGAGATACTGCTGCCTCTCCCTCCCAGACATTACCAAGTAGTACCTGATACTGGGAGAAGCCCAGGCTAAGGCTATTGTCCAATACGTGGACTACTCGGGAG